GAATTGATTAAGAATTGATGAATTTGTGCTTGATTGTTTGATATAATCGAAGGGTGACACTTCGATCTTGCAATTGGTAATGATTGAATATTGATTTGTTGAGTTAGGGTTTATTAATCCTACATGATTAGTTGATTAAACACCTTCTAATTGAACTAGCGACTTTTAGAACCGAAAGGGGAGAAGTCGTAGACCTAGGCTCGCATGAGATAGATGATTTCGTAACTGAATAATCTATGGGTTTTGGATTGAAATACATGCTTGTCGGTGTCTTGTCCCTTGTTACGAAAAGTTATTGGGATTGGATACTTGGCCGGTATTGTATGCTCAAACTTGCTCGTCTATGTTCAATTCCTTGTTACAAAGAGTTATTGGGAGTGAACCGCTAGACGTGTAGGCGAGAGTGTCAATTTCGAACCGAACGATCAATTGCCTGGCTTTACGTTGCGAACTTGAATAAATTATCCCCGATTCCCTAGTTTCTTTATTATTATTTAGTTGGTATTTTAGGATTTATGCTTTTATGCTATTTCTTAGTTGATAGTTAATTCCTCCCCAATCTGATTAGAGTGTTTAGAATTTATTTTTCTTTTTTTTGTGTTATCAATACCAATTCTAAATTCCGAACCGCCTTCCTCGAGAGATCGACCCAGGAAACGAATCCTTCGATTGGGTACTCGGTAATATAACAATTTGTACACAACATCTCTCTCTCTTTCTCTCTCTCTCTCTCTATATATATATATATACACACACACACATAGATAAAGAATTATAATAAGATGTGTAAATCTTGACTACATGAAAAGAATGAGATTTTTTTTATTAAATTCTAAAATAAATTGAGTCAGACTTAAAAATGAATAATTTTTTTTTATTAAAATTATAAAATAAATTAACTAATACTTGAAAGGTTCCAAGAGTGTCTGTCATTATATCTACAATAATTTCATAGGTTTGTTGGGGACTAAAATTAATTTTGAAATGCAATTGGAAATCTAAAATAAATTATAATTCTAAATTTATACGAAACTATAAATAATTTTGAAAAACCATAAAAACTCAAAAGATATTATATTGCAAAATTTATATAATTTTTTTATATTATCATTTGGACTATTATAAATATTGCACATTNAAAAGCCTGCCTAGAACCGACCCCAACGGGGTAATACTCAAGAACACTAAAAAAAACACCAACTAACAACACAAAGGCCCCAACAGGGCAATTCCCGAGTGTCGGACTCCAACAGAGTAATGAAAATGACACTCGGGAGCACCAGGACCAACAGCCCAAACCTAAAAAACATAATAGAACACCCAGGCAAAGAGCCCAAACCAAAACACGATTCTACCACATAAAACAACAAAAAAAAAACAACTTAAAAACACACACAATCACAAGCCCTCTCTCTACAGCAACTCCTAACCAGACAAGCAGCCACCAAATCAGCTCAGGGAAACCCACCGCTCAAGAAAACGACCCCTCCACTGCAATGAAGCCTAGCTGAGTCGCAACTCAAACCGCGAATCCCACCTAAAGACAATTCTCCCCCGCGCCCGAACACCAAGAAAGCTCCCAACACGGCCAGACCGAGCCCCCTAACACCACTAGCGAACTCTGAATAACCGAGAACACCCCAGAACCCAAACCGAGGGGACCGGGGAATAGGAACTGTCCTAACGCTGCAGCCCCGTCCCCACCATCCCTAATTTACAAAGACATCTAATTTAAGGTAAAATCATATCACACATTACATCAATGTGTTGAAACTAAATTTGGGCCAAATATAACACAAAAATTTTTCCATAGCCCTTTGAATCTCCACCTTCACATTGAGGTGGGCCTCAAACCTGGGCCAACTAATGTAGCTCTTCTAGAAAAGAGGGTCGCATTGACCAGGTCTGAGTGACTGTTTACCAAAAACACAGGTCTCTGTTTTTGAGAAATTGAAGATAAACTTGAAAAGTAGGAAAAGTCGGCTATTGGAATCGAACCGATGACCATCGCATTACAAGTTTGGATTGTAATTCTGATTCAAGTTAACAATTTAGATCTTCATGGCCCACCTTCTCGCCCCAAACACATGAAGCACATCCCACATCGAAAATGCGAGAAAATAAAGTCTTCAATTTCAACTAGAACTTTAGCTTTCATAGTCAAGGATCTAGGAAGTAACCGCTAGGCCGTGCAAACTATTTTCAATTGTTTAGTTCTACCGGTTTTCAACCAATTTAGACGGTTTGTGATCGGTTTTGGGCCCAATGGGTTACGTACCTCAAACTGGACTGGTGTGCTTATCAGTTCTCGGTTAAACAGGTCGGTCTGGTCTGGTTTTCTGAACCATGATATTTAGCACCTCCTTAGGGTCCCTGTTGTAGCCTATAAATACACATATTTTTTTTTAGAGTTCCACAAACCTAAGACACTCGGGAAATCACATTGCAAACGACTTTGGGAGATCTTGTGTTTTTTGGAATATCAATTGAGAAATCTCCATGCTCATTGCCCATAAAGACGAACGAAAAATGTGTCGGATGATATGGGATATCATACCTAGGAGCAGACTGGTCGAGTAGACCGAGCAAATACGCTGGTCGAGCAAAATCAGAACAGAATGGTTCGGTCGAGCATCATGAGATTAAAAGCCTTCGATCAGGAAGACAACCTAAGGGGGTTTTCGATACGTGGACGACAGATCGAGCTAGGGCCCTCGGATGGCCTGGTCAAAACTCGACCTATAATGGCAAATGGTAGTCTGGTCGATCAAAACTATGATTTGGAGCAGTCGACGCTTTATTTTAATCGACCCAAAGCTCGTCGTATCATCGAAAGAGTCAAAGGATAAGAGGGAATCTTAGGGGAATTAAGACCCCACATTGGTAAAACCACGTGGGACAACCTCATTGGTCCACACCTCATAACCGTATTTGACACACTCTGACAAAAAGGTCGTACTATTGGGCAGCTGGGGCAGCTAACTCATCATATCCGAGAAGTCTTCTAGAAGCAGGTACCTCACTAAGGGTGAGATGCATTATTTTACCTCATTATACTCATTTTACTCTACAGTTTCTAGAGCTCATCTCCTACATATACTCATCTAAGCATCGGAGGCTCTTCACCGGAAAACTCCTCCGGTGTGAGAGTTTTTGCAGGTCGAAGGCGTTCAACCGGCTAGGGAGCACGCAAGCAGGCTAATTTCAACCGGTCGAGGGTCTTTTCGTACCATCGGGTAATATAACAGAAGTCCGGAGGCCACCCGAGGCCGCAGCACACATGCACGACCCAACACAACCCCGACGACCACTGCTACCGCAGTCACCCAGCGACCACTGCAGCCACACGAAGTCCCGCTGACTCGCGCGACGCATACCGTAATCTAGCGATGCCCCGTGACCACAACATTGTGCACGTGACACGTGACTCCCAGCGAGCAACGATTAGACGTACCAGCAAAGGAGGAGGATGAAGGTGAGAAGATCGTCTCAGAACTGTTCGTCCGACCCCATAGTCTGTGTAGTTGTCTAAGAGTTTACAAAAGTTTTAAATTGTAAATGTTCAACCCTGTCCCGCTGCACTTAGGTTTACTTTCGTAGATTAATCCGTGACTTGCATAAATTCGACGTTCCTCGTAGAACCCCAACAACACACTAGGTCTTCGGGATATAACCGATATAAATATGTCGTCCATGTCATTGTTGTTTAATGGGCTAATCTAGATTGACGCATTTTAAGTATAATATTTGAAATGTAGGACTCCGAGATTTTTTTTTTTCAGAATTTTGGGCGAATGATAATTTGAATATCGAGACGAGTGGTGAGAGTGAAATTTGAATTTTGAAACTTTGTGAATTGAGGAATTGAGAATTGTGATTGGTAGAGCTTGACTTTATGTAAGGGATGATTGAATATAAATAAAATCGATTTTGATTGGTTAAAATGAGTTACTTTGAATAAAGCTGATTGATTGAAGAATTGAGTGGCATTTCAAATTTGCAGTTAAATAATATTTAAATTTTAATGATTAAAGTTGATGTGATGTAAAAAGAGGAGAGATGTTATTTGAAATGATAGGTAGTTAAAAATATGTGAGTGAATGAATAGTGAGTTAAAATTGATATGATGTGTGAGAATGATTGATTGTTATTATTTAATTATATTGATAATATTAAGAAGAGTTGAGTTAAATCCAAATTGAGTTGGATTTTGAGATAAAAGATGTAAAACAAATGATCTAATCAATCAAAACCGATTATAATTTGTAGCCAATCGCCCCCAAAAGGATCAATTGTTTTGTTAATTGAAGAGAAATTTCTAACCTCAATGTGTGTGAGAATAATTTTTTAAGGTTTTTAGTATAATACATATGATAATGTTTAAATATGATATATATATATACATATATATATATATGTCTATTCTGTATTTCTATTATTTCAAAACCAAAACTATAACTGATTGGATTAACCGAACAAGCAGAAAGTTGAAATTATGGGTGAGCAACGGTGAAAAACCAAACCAAACTGCAAAAAACTAAAAACCGAACCTATAAAAAAATTAACCGAATTGCAACGCAATTAAGAAAAAAGCCGAACCAAAAATAGCACCGATTTTTTTACATTGAAATAACTGAACTGAACCGCATCGAAATACACTGTTCGACTCGGTTTTTGGTTTTATCACGAATTTTGTACACATTTTATTCAATTTGGTGCAGTTCGTTGCAAAACTGCACAAAATAAAATCGAAAATCAAACTTATAAAAAATTATAACTGCACCGTACCACAATATAGGAAAAAGCGAATCCAAATCGAACCAAAATATTTTACATTAAAAAATCGAACCGAATCGCACCCAATTGCACAATTATATTTAATTTTTCAATTTTGACTCAATTTTACTCCCCCATATTTAAAACCAAACTTTGAATCGAAAAATCAATTATATATATGGGTTCCGGTGGATTAGTGTGGCTTTAACAAGATTTTGTACACCTTAGCCTAAAGTAAATACAAGTCTTTTGTTTTTGGGATTCAAAAGCCGATTCAAAAGCCGAATCTTGAGTTAGGTGAATTTGTGTTCTTGAGCGATAATATATGAGCATAGAGGACCGGTCTGAAACTCTCCGGAACATAGGAGGTCGACCGCAATTTAAGTTTCAAGCAACTTTGACAGGTGGCCACTACACAACACCTCCATCGTCATCCGTCCAACTATCTCAAATTCGTCAATTACAGTACGCCCGACCCGCTTAAACCCGACCCAGATACTAATCCCCCAGTTTGCTGTACCTGATCTGAGCATCCATTATTGGATTGTTTGATTCGACGCTCCCTAATTTCCGGTGGAAGATTTGGGGATTCTTCAAACCCTAAATCTCCTGTAGTGCTACTTCCTAGAGGTAGTAATCTCGCGCGGAGGCGCATGTGGTAATTGTATTTGATTTGAGCCCAAATTCCGCTCGGATATTTTTTTTATCATAATCTGAAGGGGCTCCCGAGGATGAAATTTGCTGCGAGGGAGAAGGAAAGTGTGATCGCGAGCTCTTAGAAGTATGTGGTTTTCCTTCTGGAGATCCCGTGATCGATATTCTTTAGACGAACTCAGGTAGATAGCTGTTAATTTTTTGTGTTAACCTTTGGTTTCATTCTTCAATTTGAACGAGAGGCTACTTGAGTAGCTCGACAGTTGAGTGTTTAGTTGGATAGATTGATTAGCTAGTTGCATTAGCTGATCAAGTGAACACTGTTGCCTTATGTTGGTTTTGTGATCCATGCCTGGGGGATTTTGGGCGAGGTTTTGAAATAGAAATCTACTGTTTTTTCCTGAAAACCCTTTTTTTTTTTTTTTTTTTTTNGAAGAACGGAGGCTTATTTCACTAACATCTGTTATATTTTGATTGAGGCATTTATTTTAGGGTCACACCTTGGTAGATTCATTAAAATTTGCTGGGTAATAACAAATGTACTAGTTACAAGTGTGTGAGAAAGAAGAAAAACCATTGAGTTGAATTGTATATATGTCTGGCTCTAATGATTAAGATTGTACTAGGCTCTTTTCTATGGTTTTATTGTTGACTCTTGAACAAGTGCAGTATTGAGGTTTGGATAGTCTTATAAGTTTGTAACTATGAAAACCCAGTCTGATGGATGATTAACATATTGATACTTTTCATTTTGATCTATGTTATCATGTCTGATGGGATTTGTTATCAATAACATAGAACAGTGATATCCAAGGATTTATCTTAGTATCTCATGGTTGGCTCTATAACTTTGAATTGGTGTTGGTCCTACTTAGTTGTTATACTGGAACCTTGGAGTTGATCAAAAGAAAGTTATTGTGCTTAAAGAGTTTCCTAAGTTAACTGGATTTAAACGGTTGGGGGCTAGAGAGATCAAATGGGCAATACTAGTATTGCCTGGATAACTGTGCTTCATTAAGGGTCTCATTTATATATGATTCTTCGGGTTAGGGGATGGGAGGAAAAATCAACTCATCCTCTAGTTTCATTTTAATGGGGAAGTCTGGATAGTTTATTCTAATTGTCTTTCATAATTTCCCACCTTACAATACTTTCGTATTGTACAAATGTTGCATGTAGCTAGTAATTTGAATACAGTGCAATGCGACATTAAGAGGTATCAGACGGTGGAAGACAGGTCTCACTTAACATTTGGGGTTTCTGAAGTTGAACATCAGTTGTGTCTGATAATGAATAAATTTTGTATATTATTTATTGTATTAGATTCTAACTGTTTGTCTACCATATGAGACATCATTGTATATGAGTAAATGAAGTTTTACATCATTAGTGTCTGATAATACATAATTTATTATAAATTTGTTATATTATTATTTATTTATTATTGGAAAGATTTTTTGGC